TACTGACATATGAGTGGCAAGGGTCAATGTTCACCTAAACTTCATATATTATATACATATCTTTATCGTTTCTTTAAATTTCTAATTTTCTTTTAGACATTTTCATTTTGAAATCTCTATAAATGCTTAAATGCCATATATGATTAAATGATGAAATGTTCTATAACCCTGTTAAAAAAAGAAGAGCAACAGAATACAGTGAAATTTCAGCTCACTGTTGAGTTGTTCTATTTTCAGAAGACTCTAAGGACACCCCTTGTGGTCCTTGAGGGCCCCTTGGTGCCCGCGGGCACCATGTTGGTGACCCCTGCTCTACACTGTGCATATTTCCTGTTTGGTACCTTACAGGCTTGTTTTTTTTTTTGTATGACCGCTCATGAAGTTGGACCAGGTAGTACAGCGAGGTGCGCAAGAATGCTGGGACCCTTTTCCCACCTGGATCCCCGCTCTTTTTGGCCCTCACCTCCCTCCATTGTCTCACAAACTTTCCCCCACTTCCTCATCGCCTCAACCGTTTCTAGACCCAGAGCTAGTTCCTGATTTTCCCCTTTTGCAATATGGCATGGAGTAAACATAGCGCAGACCACGCTTCAATGCTGGACACAAATCTAAAATGTGGAATCCACTCATTACATCAAACTGGGGAACTTGGACTTCCTACTTCAAATATACTGTACCAATAATAAGGAAGTTGTTTTTTTAGTGACAAAACACAACAAATCTGTTTTAAACGTTTCTGACAGAATTAGCCATTACGGCTGAATCAACAAGTACTTGCTATAAAAAAGGTTTGGGGCTCTTCATGCCTGAACTAACTTTGGAAGCTTTTAATATTCAGGAAAATCAGCTAAATGACTGTTCATATTCTCATGACAAACCACCATAAGCTGCTATACTTTGTGCTTTCTCTTCCTCCTCAGTAAGCATGATACTGAGGTTAAGCCTTTTTTACTTTTAAACTGCCTGAAAATGTTGCTGCTCTGCACATCAGCTGACATCAGGTGCAATTTGGAGGTGTGTGTGTCACGTTTTCCCCAGCTGCTTTGATTGTGCAGCCCGGGCCGGCACAACCCACTCTAAAGCTGTTAGCCCAACATGTAGGATCAGAGGATAAGGGATGTGCATTGCAGGGCTCATGAACGAGACAAAGATAGACTAGAAGAAGAAATATTTTGCACGTTATGGAATGGAAATGTTCATTTACTGTCTGAAAGCTGTACAAAACTAAATTATGTTTTGTAGACACTGTCTACAAAACGACAATAAAAGATGTCTGAGTCTAAGTGAAGTTAGATGACTTTTTATACAGTTATCAGGAAAGATCGTCTGGTTTTTAGTTTTTCTTTCTACAGATATGTAAAGATTCATTTATAAACAAATATGAACGTTTTACTTGTTGGATTGAGTGCATTTAAGACACCAAACCTTTAGGATGTCAGGATTTTAATAGACTTCAGACCTAATCCCTTAAATAAATCTTTGATCTCATACAAAAACCTTTTCCTTGGTGAGAAAACAATTTTGTTTTTTTTAAATGGTTGGGAGAGAGAAAGATAACCTTATCAAGAATCATTCCACCCTTTCCAAAAAAACATGAGCAATGAATCCATAATCTGGGATTTGTGTTTAATCCTGGAAAGAACGGTGGCTGGACGCAGAACGGGGTCACACAGGAAGCTGTGGTGCTGAAAAACAAACTCTGCAGCCTGAACGGCTGCTGAAATCACAGCCTTTCTCACTCAGTGCTGAGAAAGTTGGCAGGAAACTCTGCAGGTGTCCGACCACTGCAACCACCTTCAAACTTTAATAAAGAAGCCATTTTTTTATTCATATTTATTATGGATTTGCATTCGTCTTAAACGCTGATCTTTGTTGAGCCTGTGAAATAGCAAGATCGGCAGCTTTTTCTGCACAGTCATTGCCTAATATCCTTTGGCACTTTCTTGCAGACCAGCTGAGCCGTCGGCTATCATCATGCCACAAGTCTGTCAGCTTGTTCCATCCTGCCTGAGTCCTACATCCAATCCTGTGGTCTAACACTGGAAAATAACAGCCTTCCTTCACTTAGCCTCCCTCAATGGAAACTCCCCTGTGTCATTAATAACACAGTGGGGCTTTTGTTCAGGAGAAACTCCACGGTTGAACTTGAGATAACATATACAACCAGTCAATAGTTCAGAGCAGATTTAATGGAGTGGTTTTACAGACTCGTGCCTGCAGAATGGAACCATGTGTTATAGGTAGATTGGTTTCCCAGCGTAACCAGGCAACCAGCAGTCTGAAGTTTGAAGGATTTCCATCAGAAGGTCTACGAGGCCACCTGACTGCTACCTTTGCAGACACACTGGAAAAACAATCTAGAAATAAGTAAAAAATTCTTAAATTAAGTGTATTTACCCTTGATTTTAATAGGCAAATGAGATAATTTGCCAATCGAATGAGTATTTTTACTCTTAAAATAAAATAATTAGATAATATACACTTGAAATAAGACAATGCAGCTGTGTTTTCATATTTTAAATCTAAATTGTCTTGTTCCATTGGCAAAATGTCTCTTTTTTCACCTCAATTCAAGAACAAATGCACTTATTTTAAGAAAAAAGGACTTATTTAGATTTTGTTTTTTTTCCAGTGCAGTTGCTGCTCAGGAGCAGAGGCTTTGCCAGACATTTTTTATAAGGGTGTCCAGGCACTCATCAATGTACTCTGAGGGGTGGCCGATAGCAGATAGGCACCAGAACCTCAGGGTCATTCTACACTGTTCCAACCACCAAAACATCCACATTTCCTAAATAAAGACAAACTATACCTTCCTACAGCTTTTGCTAACAAACACACGCATATATTTAAACATCTGTAATTTCTAGATAAAAGATATAGTGGATAAATTCTGGGGCGTAAATCTTTTCCATTATTATTACTTACCTACTTGTATGAATAAATATTCTGCATAAAAGTGATATTTACAAGCACTAATATCTACATAAATTGATTATTTTATAAGTTTTTATTATGTGTTATTTATCTTTGATTTCACTGAAGACATCTAGATGAGTTAATGATAATTTTCTTTTTACCCCATATAAGAAACAATCTAGTTCTGAAAAGATGAATTCTTCACTTATCATCTTTGATGTTAGTATATTGATGTGTATAATTAACCGTAAAAAATTAAAATGTTTTGAATATTCCACTTTAGAATATTACTGCTGCCACCGTCTGTATTAGCGGGAAATTAAATGGTAGGGGTGGCCAATGATTGGCTAAAGCCGGGCTTACACTGTGCGAGAATTTTCTGATTGGGTCGACTTTCAGCATGATCGTGCGTCGTGCATCGTGTAGTGGCCTCTCACCACCACCTCCCGATCAGGAACCCGACCGTCGTGGGCAAATCGCTCAGTGCACAAACAATGATTCTTCTTCTTCCTCTCAGATGAAAACACAGAAGCATGGCGGGGGTGTAAGTGAAACAGAGTTCTCTCCGTAAAATCGACAGGCCGTAGTCGCCATGTTTGCTCAGCCATGTCTTTGTCCAAACACGTTGTCACCTTTTCTTTTTAGGGCTTTCAGCACAAAATTGCACAAATTGCCAAGGCAACGCGTTTCACTTTAGTGAGCTTCATATTCCTCTTCTACTCGTTAGGGATAGATGAGTCCGATTAGCACCATATCACTGCCAAGCTGAGTCTGACGTGTTTTTTTTTTTAGACGAACAAACCGCGGGGTTTCATCATAAAGTGTGAGTTCACAGCTGCATGTAACAATTGAAAGCAATCGCACAGTGTATGTGTGGTAATGTGGCCTTTTTGGTAAGTTTATTGCATGTATTCTAATTTTTGATTTTCTTTCTTTTTGAACTTGTTTGCTTGTTTTCAATTTTGTGTGTTGCATGTTTTTTTTTTTTTTGATTTTGTTTGGCCACATTGCCACTCACACCTGGACACGCCCACAGCAACGGCACAGGTGTTCCCCATCAACCAAGCAGCGTGCCGACTGGGACGCTGATTAAAAAGGCAGCTGTTTGGTTGGAGAGACACACCGGACATGGGAAGGCCGATCACGGAGGGAGCCGGACGGAGCGGGTGAGAGAGAAGCAGCGGGAGAGGTTTGGGGACTGACGGCCGGAGGCCCGCTGGAGCGAGGTGCAGGGACGCACGCCGGAGCGAGGTGAAGAGGCCCGTCATGGAGCGAGGCGCAGAGGCACGCTGGCGAGAGGCGCGTGTTGGAGGTGACCTCGCTAAGGCCAGCTATGCTGGAGAGGCCCACACGCGCAGCGTGCCGGAACGAGGATCCAGCGCTGGGGTGGACGGTGCCCTCCATTGTACCCGCCAAGTGTGCGTCTTTTAACAGACTGGGCCATTGACTCTGCTGTATTGCTTTATTGGACTTTAATCGATTAAACTTTTTAAAGCTCTGCTCACAATCGCAGCAGTCTGTTTGGTTTTATGGGCCACATATGCCCGGATTAAGGGTAGCCATGGCCCCCCCTGACCCCCCATCTAGCTCCGCCCCTGCTCAGGAGGACCAACGGTCTAGATCCAGGTCTGGATGGGACCAGTGAAGGTGGTTCCTTTTGCTCCCTGCTGATCAAAGCATCATTGTGAACTGGTGAGGCTGCAGATGGAAAACTAAGTGAGGCTGGTGAAAAGCCCCTGCTGTTTAAACACAGACAGCCAGTGTGCTGCAGGAGCAGCAGCTGTGTGCGTGTGTGCAGCACAAATCATATGGCATCACTGCTAAGTTCACACTCCTACCCATTAATCTGAATGTTTTCCTTAATCTGAGAAAGATGAAACACGACTACTTGATACTGACAGAGAGGGAAACGAAAATGCAACTAAATTAGCATTGATATCTTCCTAAATTTATATCCACACATAAATATTTGAATAAAATCACCCTGATCAGAAGAGAGAACACAAAATACACCTAACAGACAGACGTCATGATGATTTCAGGTGTTGTTAAAGATGTTTAAAGGAAAAGGCAGGAGGACCTACCTTGCCTTTGGTGAGGGAGCAGCTTGATTCCAGGTCCGCAGTGGCAGCGATCTTATTTATGAGGCACAGGAACATGTGTGGCTGAAACAATCTGCCTCTGATTAAACAGCTTCACGGCTTTCCTCCCAGAGCCTGAGTTAGGTGAGCCGATAGAGAGGTGAGAGCAGCAGCAGCAGCAGGCGGCTCTACAGGGCTCTCCTGTCAGGCCCTCTCCTCTAGAGGAGCTCCTGTCTCAGCTGAGTCCGTCCAGGAAGCTCCGCTCACTCTCTGAGCTGAGCTCAACTCTCTGCTGCTCCTGCTGGCTGACTGGCTCCGCTCATGATGCGTTCAGGTGCGGCACGGAAAAATGACACTTCCCGGTTGATTTGATCTTTTCTGTATGGGATACACGTGGTTGCTCAGTGGCACAGTGGGTAGCACTGCTGCATTGCAGCAAGAAGGTTCTGGGTTTGATTCCTGGCCCGTGTTCTTTCTGTATGGAGTTTGCTTGTTCTCCCTCAGCATGTGTGGGTTCTCTCTGGGTACTCTGGCTTCCTCCCACAGTCCAAAAACATGACTGTTAAGTTAATTGGCTTCTCTAAATTGTCCTTAGGTGTGAGTGTGTGCATGAATGGTTGCTTTTCCTGTGTTGCCCTGCGATGGACTGGTGACCTGTCCAGGGCGTACCCCGCCTCTCGCCCATTGACAGCTAGAGATAGGCACCAGCACCGCTCGTGACCCCAATTGGATGTAAGGTGATGGATGTATGGAATACAAAAATGTTTCATAGGGGTGGCCAGAAGGGGCCACTGAAAATCTTGGGGTAGCACAAAAAACACAGCCATAATTTCAGGGTAATTTGCTTAATTATATTTAGTTACTTTAACACAATTGTTTTACGTTTGCAGGGTAGGACATAAAACAATTGTGTTAAAGTAACTACATATGATTAGGTAAATGGCAAAAGCGGTTGCATTATTTTTTTTTTGTGTACTATTGTGGTAAATCTACTCATATCTTGGTTTATTGTGTGGTTTTTAATGTTACATGGCTGGCTGTGCATAATGGGATTAAATGCTAAACTGATGCAACAAAAAATTTACACTGGCCAGTGGAGTGGCCAAGGCATTGCACAGGGTAGCTGTGGCTCGTCTCATAAGAAAAAACAAATTATATTAGAACTATATCATCACAATATTAGTGACTATATATATCACTAATGTATATATTAGTGTTGCACCGATACCAGTATCGGGCGGGGCCCCGATCCAGCACTAACATGGTGGTATCAGTAACAGCGAGTACCAACACATAGGGCACTGATACCATTTTGGAGCCAAAACTCAGGGTCTCTAAGAGTTTATTCAATTATTAATATAATTTGACTATTTTACTGTTGCACTAGTATTATGCATGTTATATAAGTTGATGAACTTCAGATATATTTGTTCGTTGATTAACGAATATATCTGAGGTTATGAATTTAATTGTTTTAGAGACTTTATTAGCTTACAGGACTAGTGCTGAGCAACATTATGAAAGATCTGCCCATGCAAGGACAGGGTAAAGTACTTCTACTCTTTTTTATTGCTTTTTATTGTTTATTTAATCTACAAGGCAAGGCAGGTAGAAAACAGCCAAGGTTGTGTCGAAACAAGAGGTCTCAGTTTAGCATAAGCCGTAGCTCTGGCAGGGACGCAGCCAGGAATTTGCGGCCCAATGAAAGACATTGATATTGCCCCCCCTACCCCGTCCCACACCACCAACCACCCAAAGAAAAAAATTTATTCAAGCTTTAAAACTCCTATAAAGATGCATTGAAGAGTATCATTCACATTTTTAAATTCTTGGCAAAGCGAAAAATTTAAACATACATTAACTTTAAAACCTAACATTAAAAATCATTGTCTCAAAATAATTACAGCTTAAAGAAATAAAAACATAGCTGTATCTATGTACAAATGAGAAGACAATAGGTTTTGGGTTGTGAAAATATTGCCCTGTAAGGTTTGACTATATCTTTATTAAAGAACAGATTATTTTTATGCTGGCCATGAGAACTTTTCATGCATTAATATGTGTAATGACAAAACATGTATTTTTGGTGTTGCTGCTTTAGGCTGCTCATGAGATTAAGATTTATAGGTGACGTTTAATAATTGTGATGTAATTTAAATATAAATATCTAACTTAACATTTTTTATTATTGACACAGATTTTAATACTATATATTTATGCATTATTTCGCTGTTTAGTGCTCAAATATAATGGAGAACACAAGGATAATTTATTTTACAGCTAGATTTTATTTTTATATTTGTAACATATAGCAGGATATATCTTTTCTTCTTCTTTTTGGGCCCCCCTCAATCAAGGGCCCTTGGAATCTTCCTAACCCCCCCACAGCACTTCTTATCTCTGTTGTATTTATTGTAACTATAAATCAGTTCTTTACACGCAGTGAGTACAGAAATAGTCAAAAGTTTTACTGAAGTAAGAGTAGAAACACTTTGTAAGAATATTACTCCAGTTACAGCTTATCAGGTTATGCAAAACTACTCAAAAGTGTACTCAACTATCTAACTTTATTGCAGAGACAACAGCTTGATCCTGAACGTGGAGAAGACCAAGGAGATCATCATGGACTTCAGGAAGAACCGGCCTAACCACGCTCCATTGGTCATCAACAGGTCCGCTGTAGAGGTGGTCAGCTGCACCAAATTCTTGGGGGTGCACATCACAGACACCCTCACCTAGAATGTAAACACCACCTCACTGGTCTAAAGGGCACAGAAGCTCATGTACTTCCAGCGGAGGATGAGGAGAGCCCACCTGCCCCCACCCATCCTCACCACCCTCTACAGAAGCACCATAGAGAGCGTTCTGACCAGCTGTCTCACTGTGTGGTGTGGAGGCTGCAGCGCCTCAGACTGGAAGAAAGTGAGGAGAGTAGTAAGAACAGCAGAGAAGATCATCAGGGCTCCTCTTCCCTCCATCAAAGACATTTTATCCCACCGCTGCGTGTCCTTAACCTGACTTCGCCAGATGGATTTGCTCCGCATATCCATCTGGAAACCTTCTGTTGAAGTAATTTTGGTTAGGGGCGAAAATACTGGTGAGCTGATTGGCCTATGTTGGTAATAGACGGGTCAAATAAACCAATCAGATCAACGAAGCATATGATGTACTAACAGAGCGACGAAGAGGAGCCAATTGATAGATCAAACTCTTGCCAAAACCAGTCGGGAGAAGAGCAAAAACATCTTTTGCTCTTCTTTCAGTGAAGAAATACTCTGTAATTCTGATAAAACTTGCTCGATAGCCACGCTAACGCTAGTTTCATCGGCTGAAGCCGCCATGTTCTTTAAACTGAACTGTCACGCTTCTCGTTGCGTCACACCTCAACCCGCCTCAAAGCCAACGCTGTTTGGACGTTCGTTTGGTGAACGGCTCCAAATTTTCTTTAACGGAGAGTCTCCAGACTGATCTGCGAGTGAAACCTTGAAAGCTCACGAGATCAGGATGGTCTCACGAGGCTAGCGTGTCCTAAGCCCGTAACATAATCAATGACCCCCCCTTGGACTATTCTCCCTGCTGCCCTCTGGGATTCCAGCAGATTCCAGAACAATTTCTTCCCCACTGCCATTAGGCTGCTGAATGTTGTATAAAATGGGGTTTATAAAACAAAAAAACCCTGAATGTTGGAAACTGTAAATCATATACAGTTGTATGTTTATGTCTATTACTGCGGCACTTTAAAAAAATTTAACTATCTTGAGAGCTGTACTGAACAAAATTTATTTTTGTATACACTCTGTGTGCACAAAATGACAATAAAGTCCAAGTGTAAGTCAGTGACTCATGAAGGCTCATGCCATGTTAGAGCAGAGGTGATTGCTTTGAACAAACAAACCATGTTTTTTTTTTCTTTTTATGAAACTCTGATTTTTCTTTGAACTCGCAGGTGAAACCGCAACTTTGTGGCATCTTGCTGTCTAATACGCCTACTAAGAACAGCCCTCAAATGCGCAGGAATTTTTTTACTTTATAGTTGGCCCAGTTTTAAGATTTTATGAAGTTATATCTCAGTGTGCAAAACAACAACACACAAAAACAACAAAACAAACTAAAATAATTCATGTTTGTGATGCATTATAAAACCATCATCAGTATTGTGGACTCATATTATAGGGTGGAAATTTAAAGGCCTATCAGATGCAAAAAAAAAAAAAAACAAACAAAAAAAACACACAACTTTTAGTAAAAAGTGAAAATAAGTTAAAACCATGACACCATTTAAAACCAAGTTTGCATCTCACACGCAGGTCTAGTCAGCCTTTCACACTAGTAAACAGGATTACATCACTTCTTCAGCCCACACTAGTGTTTGTGATGAAGAGAAGCTTTCCTGAAAGTCATCTGACGCCAAACCAACGGGGCCAGAGTGCGCATGCGCGCGTGTTTCCACCGACGCGCCTCTATATAAAGACTGGCTGCTTTAAAAAGGAGAGTTACTAACGCGGCGGCCACGGCCAGCTTCAACAGGGATTCCACTGCTGAAAAAAGTCTGATAAAAATGAAAGAAAAGTCACAGACAAGCCAGGTAAGCTTCAAGATTTATTACACCTTTCTTAATATTTATGACTAGAGTTCAGCCTGGTCGTCATTTAAAATAGACACTGCCTAAAAAAGTAAAGGAACTTAAATGTTTGTTTGTATTTCTTTTCTCTCACTCTTGGTTCCAGGCGGTGGCCCTGAAAGTGTTCAGCATGCAGAGATTCATCCAGGGGATGCAGGCAGTGGCTGCGAGAAGCTGCACCAGAGCCTGCCAGCTCTTCTGCCTGCCTGTTGCTGAGATGAAGACGCTCCCTGCAGGTAAAGCGGTTAAAATCACCATTAGATGCAGGTGAAAAGCTGCAAAACTTCATCTATTTCCTTCTCTTTACAGATCAGACGAGTCCTCTCAGAGAAGGGAAAAGCTCACCAGGTAACCCGTGATTCTCTTTCCTTTGTACACATTCATTAATAATCAATGATTGAGTTAAAATGGAGCTCGGTCTGCTTGATTTTCAGCAACAAATATTAAAAACTGACGTATCTATGTGTGACGCCACAATGGAAGATCCACTTCCCTTATTTTATATTCTCTTTCGCTTTTCCCTTCCTCAGTGACAGACCGGCTCCTGAGTCCACCCTCCACTGTCCTGGTGATCAACATCAGCAACTGCACCCTGGTGGATTGCGTCATTGGGGATTCCCACCCGTCTGCTGCTGTGGAGCAGCAACCTCTCATGCAGGTGGCCGGTGGG